TTACAATATCTTAGATGGCATTAGTCCTAGTAGATAGCAATGTTTTCTTCTCTTTCTAAAGCGGTACTGAATGATTTCAAGAAAGGAGGCTCAATCCGTTGGGAATATCTTCTCAGCAAACCTCACTGAAATGAATGATGCTTGCAGAAGCACACAGATTCAGACTGTGGCTGATTTCTCATGGGGACAAACTAACTGGAGGACTATAAGTAAATTTTAAATTTGCTTCAGGGAAGTCGTTAAAGTTTTTAGATGGCTGCACTGCATCATATTCAACAAAGCCAACACTAAAAAGAAGAATACACTTGCTTGAAAGGTATTGCATTGCAAATATCCATTGCCTTGAGCTATTCTGGGAAACTACAAGCTTAATTAATATTGAATTTCTCTGTGTCAATACACAAAAATTAAAGGACCGGAGAACCCAAAATACATGCAGTAATGAGGAAGGGGGAAATGATATAAAATACATTCAGGAAGACAGTATTCTTTAGTATCTGATGAGGCTCCTCTTTTCAGGTTTAGGCCCTTGAGCACAACTGAGGAAATGCCGTTTTGTAAACGGCTGTGGGAAGAATTAAGACTGAGGGCCCTTCTAGGCAGGCCCAAAATGCAGCAACTGTCTTGCTTTTACCTGAGGCATCCAAACAATGCCTCAGGTAAAAGCGAATTAATGCAGAGGAAACTGGGATTGTCCAGTTTGCTCCACATTAATTTAACACCTGGAACGATCTGGACCTTAAGCTACGGTCTCAATCTTTCCAGGTGCCAAGCCTGTGAAGATTGACCCCTGGGATTGCTTTCATCATCCTTGGGGTCAATTACCACAGCCATCATGGAATCTGAAATAGCAGGAGGATGTCTCCCATTCCCCCCCCCCCCAAAAAAACCTAACTAGATGGGCCTGCCAGCAGTGCAGGCCCCTCTGCAGAGTACTCTTGGTGTGCAATTCCCCCCCTCCTCACCTCCTGGTGTCATTTTTTGATTTTGGGGGGATGGGGGCTGGGTCAACCTTTGGTGGGTCAACCTTTGGCCACCCCTCAAGGGAAAGCCAAAGGTTTAGGTTGGGGGTGGGGACAGAAACTCAAGAGAAAGTGGGTTGTTTTAGCCCACTTCCTTGCAGGTTTCTGGTATGTCTGGAAGAGCCCCAAGATTCTGCATGGGAAATATAACATAACCTGATATCCCCCAGCCCAGTCCTTCAATTTTCCATTCTTCTGGGCAATGTCTTAATCAGGGTTACCTCAGAAATGAGTTGAATTCAATCTTATGGCTAAAATGTGTGTTTAGAATCGTAAACATCTGGTCCATTTTAACTTGGTTTTTGCCTGTCCTGTTAAAGTCAGTACATTCTTATCTTTGTGTGTGAATCACTTTATTTATTTATTTATTTATTTATTTATTTATTTATTTATTTATTTGGGGTGCTTCTACCCTTCTCAACCCCCTAGGGGGGACTCAGGGCAGCTTACAAAAGGCACAATTCGATGCCCAACAATTCACAAAATACAATATACAATTTACAATTTAACATCAACAGTTATTACTAGTTTAACACCTAATGCTTCACTGAAGTGAGATACAAACTGGCTGACTTCTTCATTACAATACTATGAGGTTCTCCTTGGCTTCACATTCACAGAGCTGTAAAGTGAATTTTGCTGGGGAAGTCAATCTTGGAAGTTTGACTGACAAACGGGACTTAAATCTAACCTTAAAAACTGTGCCATAGACACCAAGCCCTAGCCGTTGAGCACTCTAACTGGGGGTCAACTGTGACTAGCAGTGCTGTGGAATTGGAAGAGGTATGAATGGGGGGTGAAAGGGAGAAATGTGCCAAGAGGAAAGTGCATCAGGCCAACCCTCACCAGGACCACAAATGTGGAGGGACAACTATATAAATATGCTTCAAAATCATGTATTATTACTACTGTGGCTAGTCTAATGGTAACAATGTTTATCGGCACCTGTCTCAAAGTTCATATGCATGTGTTCAATATATATGTTGCTTAATTCAATATAATATTATGTGCATTCATGAAAATGTATGTTCATTGATTAAAAAACCAAGGCAAAGCTGTGTTTGGGGAATTAATTTTTTCTTTGTTTTTTGAGTGAACACTCGCAAGCTAATTTTAATGCAGGATACATGTTTCCCTAATGGTATCACTTATTTAAGATAGCCATTAAAAGCCTATAATATTACCGTAATGAAGTCAAATTTTAGTGAGTTAGAAGAGTGCTTCAGATGAGTTACCAGCAGGCTATTAAACAGATGCCTTTTCTTGGTAATGGGATTAGGAGATGGGGAGGCAGGGAACTAGCTCTGTAACATCACAATTGCGGCAATCCCATGTATCATAGTCTTGACAGACACAAAGGCTTTGCCACAAAGACACTGGGGAGAGGGCGATGGAGAGGAAGCAAACTCATTGCTGCTAATTCTGAGGTTTCCTGCCAGGCGTTTAATTGAGGGAATTGACAGGAAGTTATCCAGTACCAAATTCGTTAGATAGTTGCTGTTGATTGTGCCGTGATTGCTTGGGAAAGCTAAATAAAAATGTCTGTCTATTTATAGAAAGAGGTGATTGCAGCTATTAATTTGAACAGTGGGATCCAAGCATTTTATATGCATTTGATTTTGCTGGTTGCACAGAGTAAACTGGAAGGCTATTTTAAAAGCTGATTCATTCTCTCCAGTGGTACCATGAATGATACAGTACTTATTTATCTTTTAAAAGTCTAACCATGATATTTTTTAAAAGGCTCATTTGGCTACACAAATACCCCAACAGACTTGGGAAGGAGAAGAATAAGGATAAAAGGGAGAGGACAATGCATTATTTTGCTCCCTACTTGACTGTATTTTAAATGGTGGTTTCTTGATAGCGCACGGTAATTCCTATCTGCTGCTCATCAATGATCCCACCTTAGTACAGGAATCATTTTCTGTCTGTTCCTGCTCTCTCATCAGAATGGTACTACTCTGACTGGCACATCGCCAACTTTTTCAACTAAGCCTGGTATAGCCTTCTCCCAGGCGGAATAGGAAATAAGAGGCTTCCTGTCTCGGTAGAACATAAACAACAAATCCTGCCTGATCTCTTTTGTGTCTTGTGTTTTTACTTTTACACTTTAATCCTGACTCATGCTTTTTCCCTCAGATTCTTCTGTCAGTTTTGCATCCTGTTCCTGGTTTCTCTCTAGTCCTGATTTCCAGTTTCTAGCTCCTGACTCACTCTTGGCCCATCATAAGACACCCACACAATAGTCTTCCTTTCTCTGTCTCTCTCTGACACCCTATATGTCTACACAAGTATATCAGATGCTCAGAAACAAAATGCTTCGGATCTCCTTATGGCCAGATTGTTTAATCTGATCTGGCCCACAAAATGCTTCGGTTTGGCCCCAGAAGCAGCCACATACATGCCGTTCCCAACCCACAGTGGTCCAGATGGTCAAGATGGGCCCACTGAACCATCCTTTTGCGTCCACATCATCATTGCTGCTCCCAGGCAACCACAGAGCAAAAGCGCCCATACAGCCAGGAAGAAGGATTCTAAAGATCTTTATGATTTAACACCCAATAATAATAATAATAATAATAATAATAATAATAATAATAATAATAATAACAACAACAACAAAAACAACATAATAATATCAGTCCTAAATGCTTGGGAAGTGTTTGACTTGTGAGTTTGTGATATAAAATCCAGCATATATATCTTGTTTGCTGTGTCATAGTGTATTTTTGTGTCAGTAAAATAATAATAATAACTTAATTTTTGTACCCCATCTCTATCTCCCAAAGGGACTTGGGGCGCCTTACATGGGGACAAGCCTGATCACTTTAAAATTCATCAAAACAGCATCAAGAAAAATAAAACAACAACAACAGCACAACACAATATAAAATCAACCATCAAACAGACAACCAGTAGCCTGAGATAGCAACACAGTTCTGGGCTCAGGCAAGGGGGTCGAAACAATCAATTGTGAGGAAGGGCTAATAGATAAAGTGCAAGTGGCAGATGACAAAATTGGGGATAAAGGGCAATATAAGGTGGAACACTATACCTCTAAGCAGGGGTTAGTAGTAAAGTGCAGGGACTGAAAATTGGGTCACAACTGGAACCAAACATTTTCTGGACAATCAATCAAAAAGTCTAATCAAAAGCACAATGGGACATCCACTTTTTAAGATCTTTATGAAATATGGACAGGATGGGTGCCAGCCAAATCTCCCTGGGGAGAGAATTCCAGAGCCAGGAGGCCACCACTGAGAAGGCCCTCTCCTTCATCCCCACCAATCAATTTTTGCCTGATGGAGAAGCCAGTGAAGCTTCAATAGCTTACATAATGTATTTTATGCTTTGAATTTGGCCCATAAAAATGTATTGTTGCTAATAACATTTGCTTTCACAAAACTTCAACAGCATCAAACCCAACTAGTATATGTACTAATCTTGAACACAAAATACTAGGGATTTCCAATTAGTGCTAGGAAAAGGTGCTATTTGAATACATGGAGAGCTTCTGCCAGTAAGAATTGGTGACAATGGGCTAAACGGAGCAATGATCTCCATTACTATAACATGGTTTAATATGTTCCCATCTCCAATTACTGACTGAAAATAAAGTGGATTCCCTCCGCTGGCAGGATGAGACAGGGAAAAACATGGATTTTACGCCAGCATCTCTCCCCCCCCCCCCCCCCCCCCCCATACACACACAAACCAGCAATGTGGATGTCAGGAGTATTAAAACCACTCAGAGCTAGCCATTTTGATCTGCTGAACACTATCCTTACTGCATCATTCTTGGCACGCTGTACTTCTGAAAATCTGGGCACTTATTCAAGCTGTTACATTATGGTTGTAGTAATCAACTGTAATTCCCCCCTTATAGAAATTTGGGTCAGTCCCTCATAAACAAAGGCACATATGACAGACAAAACAGCCAGGATGATTAGAAGGAGAGAAATTTCTGTGTTTTACCTTTGCTTTACGAAAACGGTAGACCACCAGCATGCTGATGAAGTCCAACAGCATACAGAGAGTTTGGAATGAGATGATAGCGAGCCGTAAATACTTGTCCTCCTGTGCATAGCAGGAAGTGTCATCTGTACAGTCGGAACATCCTTTCCCGCAGGGCCAGCAACCATATTCCCCAGCCATCTCGCCTCCATAAAAATGGCTCTCTGCATCCTTCCCTAAAAGTATCAAAGACAGAGGGATCAAGATATCTTATCATTTAAGCAGTGGAGGGAAAGAAGGCCATTTGGCTTATCTTCTTGGTGACCATATCCTACATTCCCATTCCATCAACTATATTTGGCATTTCTGCATCACTTCTGTTTGGGAAACTGAAGCAATTACTTAATACTTCTGTGATGCCTTCACAGCTGGATTCAGGGACAGATGAGTTCTTGTGAGGAAGGTGTCAATCAAATAAGATCTATATAAAAGTTCACAACGAAATGAACAGTGAGTGTGTGCACAGCAGGGATATTCTCATCTAAAGAGAAGATGGGGAATAAAGACCTCTATGTTGTCAACCTTAGGGCTCCTCCAAATGGCCAAGAGACCAGAAAAAACTATTCTGTTTTTAAAATGCACATCTTTCAGTGATTTTTCACACCCCTGTATCTAGACATGCTCTAAATATACAGAGATTTTCTATATCTTCTGTGTCCCACTTGAGTTGTGGTTAATAGCAGGGTGTGCTTTCTTCCTTACGCATTCTGCAAAATGCAATACATCCTCAGTGGGAGTCACTCAGAAATAGAGAGGAGATTGAGACAACAGAAGTAGGCAAGGGACTTTGTCTGCCTCAATTACTCTTAGTACAGGCAAAAAAACCAAAACAAAACAAAACAAAACAACCCACCCCTGACCCGGGTTTGAAAAGTCACAGCTAGTGCCAGAAATAAATGGGGAATAAAGTAGGGCAGAAGGTACAATGTCCACCATATCCCAAGGTTTTTGCCAGTTCAGGGCCTAATGGGGATGACTGGGAAATCTTTTTGAAACGTATCTTAAAAGTGTCCATTATTTAAATGTCTGTCATAATGAAAGGTTATGGAGCAAGAACGAATCAATGGATTAACATAATATTGGAGTGTGTGTGTATGTGTCTTCAAGTTGCCTGTCAATTTATGGTGACTTCATGAATTTCATAGAATTTTCTTAGGCAAAGAATACTCAGAAATGGTTTTGTTGGTTCTTTCCTTTGAAATATAAAACTTAGTAAAACAGTGAGGGTACTTTTCCAGTGAAGGAAAGATTATATAGGCACCAAATCCTGCCTGACCCTGCTCAGCTTATAAGAGCAAATGGGATCTGATGCCTATATCGTCCTTCTTTCCACCTGGAAACCAATGCCCTCACTGCGAGAGAAGATGCAGATCAAGAATAGGGTTCCACAGTCACCTACGGACCCACCAGTACACTGATCATGGAAGACTATCCTACTCGGACAACGAGGGATCGCCTAAGTAAATAACTCCTTCACTGGAAAGTTACCTCCACTGTTTTACTAAGATTCATATCTAGGTAAGATATGGGTCTTAATATCCTAAAGGCACCAGATCCTGTGTGCTCTTGGAAGCTGAGCAGGGCCAGGCTTGTTAGTACTTGGATGGGAGACTACCAATGAATGCCAGATGTTGCAGGCTATATTTCAAAGGAAAGAACTGACAAAACCAAAGAGAACTGTTTGGGGTCACACTCCAACCTTAAGTTAATCAATTGATTCATTCTTTGCTACATAAACTGGTGTTATGATCGACACTTGAACATACCTATCAAAAAGATGTTTTAGCCATCCCCACCAGGACCATGGCCAAGATGGACTTGTATACAAATGCAAGCCAGGTTGCATGTGGTTACCTAGCTTGGCCAACTGCAAGGAATAGCAACATGACTTCCTTGTTGTTCATAGTCCTGATGTCTGCCTATCATTACCAGTTCCTCCCCTTATAGGGCATGCTTGATGCTGGTACCTGTGACTAGGCCTGGGCAATGCATGGTTCTGAATGGAACTTCTAAAGTACTTACAAAACTAAAGTTCTGGTCGTGAAAATTTCAGAACTCTAACAAAACTTTCAAAATTTAATTATTATTTCATTATTGGTGATTTTTATGACAGAACCAATTAGGAACTGCCATTTATAATGAAATTTTGAGAGTTTTGTTAGGGTTTTGAAATTTTTTACCACCAGAACTTTAGTTTTGTAAGTTCTTTAGAACCATTTAGAAACATGCATTGCCCAGACCTACCTGTGACTACTGAAAACTATCAAGACTTTAGACCCCTATATGGGCAGCGGGTACCATCTCTGCAGACCTCATTCTCAGGTACAGCGATTTCTCATTCTCCTAACTCCTGGAAGCATTTCTGCAACTGAGCCTTCACTGGTGCTTCAGAAGAATAAACAGGGCTGCTTCTTGGCATATTGCATGAGGAACAAAACTAGAAGATTTAATCCAATCTGCCCTGCTATCTCAGCACCCTACTTTGCTTCCCAATTTTGCCTCAGCCTACAACTGTGCAGCCTCACCAAAAGCAGAAGGATGGCGAAGTTTTAAGTGGCAGAAGCATCTGGCCGGCAAAACCTTGATTATTAATGATGGTGAGCAAGCAAGAACACAGCTTGACTTTCAGATTCCTTGCTGGGTTTGCAGAGCTGGCAGTTAGATAAACCATCTTTTAAAAAACGAATGCACTGAGGAAATTTCACAGAGCGTCGGAGACCTCCACGGTTCAAGTCTGGAGAAATTGCCTTCTAAAGCAGAAAGCTAAACTACATATTTTAAGGAAACATCCCATATAACCTACTTTCTCTCTTTAGCCTCCTAGGAAAATATGCAAAAACTGTCCAATTAGCAAATAGCCACAGTTAAAAATTATGGACTAAAGCTGCAATCCTAAATACTTTACAAGCCTAATAAGACCCATAGAAAAAATGAAGTGTTGAAGGCTTTCATAGCCTGAATCACTGGGTTGCTGTAGGTTTTTCGGGTTGTATAGCCATGTTTTAGAAGCATTCTCTCCTGATGTTTTGCCTGCATTTGTGGCAAGCATTCTCACAACCTCTGAGGATGCTTGCCACAGATGCAAGTGAAACGTCAGGAGAGAATGCTTCTAAAAATGGTCATACAACCTGAAAAACCTACAACAACCCAAAAATGAAGTGGTTTCCTTCCAGTAACCAATGTAAGATTGCACTGCTTCTCTGTTTCTTTTTCCTTTTCTTTCCCTTATTTGGGTGCGCGGCATTTCAAACACTGTCTCTTTTCACAGCTCTATTTTCTTGCTCCAGGAATATCTTATTTTCAAATACTTCTCTCAATATCCATCTCTCTTCCTGTCAGACTTTTGCAAAATAGCTATACAAACAATGAACCTTCAGGTTATGCTGTTTCTTTTACAGCGGCAATCACTTCCACCAACTCCTCGTCTTACATTCATTTCAATGGTAAAGGCTTTTTGGATGCCCAGTGTTTACAACCTTTCATTTCTCCTTTGTGTCGCAGAGATGGAGACAGGCTATTTTGAACCAGTGGCTTTCCTTTCATAATTTGACAATCTTCACCACTCTTTGACACAAGCTGTCTCATCCTTTGGCTTTGATAAGATACATATATTCAGTTCAGCAGACTGAACATCCATTTGAACAACTTCACTTCCTAGGAAGAGAATTTCCCTGTCTATCACCTTACTTTGTGGTGGTTTACAAAAAAAATGTTTTGCTTGTTTGTTTATTTACCTGCATATGTAGGAGCAATTTAATCAGTGATCATATCCCCCAATTGTTCTGATTTAGCAGTCCTGGGCAATTCTTTATTGTCCAACTTTATACATTGCTTTAATAGTGACCCAGTTTCTCTCTCTTCCTCCTTTGTCTTCAGCTTCAATCAATTGTTGCAAACTGAGTCCAAATTGCAAAAAGAAGCGAGGAGAGGGGGAAATCTTGCCCTTTCCTAAAGGCTCAGGCTAAAGGAAACTTTGCAGCCTCTTTAAACGTCTTGTCTTTTTCTTCCTTTCTTCTTTAATAACTATATCTCACATCTCTTACTCATATTCCTCACATCAACACTTATCTCTCTCACACACACACTCATAAGCTAACTGACCTAATTACTCGCTGTCTCTAACTGACTAATTTTTCCAACATCTTTAACTCCTGGGTTGTGGCACAGCTGGTTGGGAGTCAGCTGCATTAAAATCACTACTGACCAAAAGGTCATGAATTCGAAGCTAGCCCGGGTCAGAGTAAGCTCCTATTTGTCTAGCTTGCTGTTGACCTTTGCAACCCAAAAGACAGTTGCATCTGTCAAGTAGGAAATTTAGGTACCGCTTATGTAGAGAGGCTAATTTAACTAATTTACAATGCCATAAAACTCTCCAGCAGTGTGCAAAAGAATGAGGAAAAACTCCATTGGTGTCACAAGTGGACGGTGAAGCGACAGCTCCCCCGGTGGCTGGAATTCGAAGCATACTCTCATGAAGCTGGAAAGTTAAATAGCCTCTGTGTCTGTCCATATATGTTGTGTGTCTATGGCATTGGATGTTTGCCATGTATACGTGCATTGTGATCCACCCTGAGTCCCCTGCGGGGTGAGAAGGGCGGAATATAAATACTGTAAATAAATAAATAATAAATAAAAATAATTTCTAATGTTGACAGATTCCTAATCTTAACCGTGGCAAACCCAACTCTCATTTTTAGTACCAAACACATCCACCTTCTTAAAATTTTCTTAGACATTCAGCCAATCACCAGGCAGCCCAAAGATTCCTTACTTTCACCCCTTCCAACAGATCCTCTTTTTACGCTCCATTTATATTGCTGAATAATGCAGTTTGAAACTGAATTCTATAATCAATGTAGACTCTTATAATACAATTCAATACAATTAAGCTGCATTATATGAGTTATAGGAGTGTCAAACTGCATTCCATGGCAGTGTAGATGAGGCCCTAAAATTACTACATGTTTCATTCTGTGCACTTGTATCTTACTGGGGAATTCAAAGATCACTTATGGTGATCTAAAGTGAACTTATCATGGGGGTGGATTTCAGGGGTTGAACATATGTGACTAGGTACTGAACTGAAAATCAAACTGTGGTCTCCAGAGTCATGGTCTGAAGCTCAAACCACTTTGCCAGACTGGCTCACATCTTGCATGCAGAACCATATTACTTTGTCTAATAAATGAAGCAGCAACACCCACCAGGTCTATAACATCCCAACTAAGCACGACTTCTTTTCTTCCTGGCAGTAAATATGAAGTGAGTGGGTCTTTGCAAAAATAAATATAATTATCGAATAAGAAAATAAATCAGAGGGAAACCGTGGGAGGGAGGGGTGGTTAAGATGGATAACTCATTTTATAATATGCCATCTTGTACTGTACTGATCAAATTAAAGGCATGTGAGCAAATTCCTTTTTTAAGAAATGGTGCAAGATGGAGAGTTTTAAACAAGAGTATAAGAGACAGAGAAACAGAGTTAACACGAGTCTCTAATTTGAAGTTTCTGAAAGCCTATATGCAGAAAAAACATATGCTATTTTACGTAGTTGTATTATATAAAAGCCAATTTCAAAGGAAAATTATCAAAACTAATATGCCCTTGTTAATAGGGAACAGAAGAAGTTTCTGCTCTAATATTTATGCCGAAAATGGTTACTGCCCAGTAGCAAAGCAATTATTTTTTAATAAAAACAAATTAATATTTATTTACAAATCAAACACACTTAAAAGTAGATATGTTTTACTAGATTCTCCAGAGTATCACAGATGACAAACCACAGGCCTAAATTTCCTTAAGTGATTATATAATCCCTGAGTTGCAGGCCATTGGGAATATACTGTATAACCCTGACAAGGATAAAAAGGAATTCTGCATTATTAATGTGCTCTCTCTTTCAAACTCAAGCAAAGGCACTTACTGTGAAAGCTGTTCATTGAAAATATTTGGGGATTATAGAATCCAGCCTTACAACTGCATCTGTAGGCTCCAAGTACAAATCCAAGGCCTTTAATTGGCATGCACTGTAAAAAAGAAAGAAAGGGAAAGATGAAAGAGATGCCCACTCTTCTATACAAAGAGAGATTATACATCTTGTCAATAACAGTGTGAGAGATATTAACAGAAAGTTTTAAAAACCTTTCAAAGAGACTGGTTTTAGATTTTATAGACTCACTTTCCAATTTAATAATGCCCTTCATTGCAGTTTATAGTGATACATATATTGATCACTCTATCGGCTTTTGTAAAACTAAAAACAAATCACTTAGCATCAGATTTAGTTCTTGAATTTTATCATATTTGAATTTGATAGACAGTGCATGCTTACTGCACAAATATTTACATGAAGATGTGACCCAGGAGATGACATCCTCTTTGTGACATACACAACTGGCAGGTCCAACATATGCCTCCATATTTCCCCCCTCCTTTTTGTCATTATGGAAGTAGTGTCTTCATTCCATCACAATAATCAACCCCCCCCCCCCAAAGGATTCATCATTTGTCACCATTTCGTCACAGCTATTTGGTCACCAGTAGAGAATGGAAGGATGATCAGAGAAGCCTCAGGCTGTGCCTCAGTAGCCACATGCGAAGCAATTACATAATCTCCCGAGACCTCCAGATGACCCAATGGATATCAATAGATGACATCATCAATCTACATGTGGATATAGGAACATAGCCAGACTTTTCTATAATGCCCACGCCCTTGGCCTCCACCAGCCATTGAATGGTGATTGAAGAGCATAGTAATGTATAGTAGAATAATGCATTCCTTACTATCATGACACTAGGCAGATGGTGTCATTTCTCTATGTAACCTCTTGCATAGGAAGAGCATAATCAAAGAAGGCCTCCCACGGATTCATTCCAAACAAGGAGATGCTATGAGGATCAATCAATAGCATAAGAGTTAAAAGGTTGATGAGGAAGCCCAAGAAATTGTCGTCCCATAACTATTTCACATTGTTGGTGTAATAGATAGATTCAGTTACTTCTTGGATCTAGTGTGTTGTGTGGAAAGTCTTCATACAATATCACAGTGGCCTTCAGAAATTGTTCACTGTAATATGGGAACTTCATATGAACCAGCTGGGCTAGGTCACAAGCCAGTCTGAATGGAATGCCTGTAAAAATGCTGGCAAGGGCTTCTGGGAGTTGGAGGCCAAAACAGCTGGATGGCCACAGTTTGAAGATGCCTGTTCTATAGAAACTGTTGTGTCAGGTTCCCTTTGAACCAATGGACTGACCTTTGGGGAAGGCCAATATCCATCTTGTAGAGTCCATGAAGGTGCTTGTTTGAAACATGAAGCATTTAGAAAATTAGGGAAAGATGGGTCAGATTTTTTTATTGTGTCAGAAGTGACTTGAGAACATACTGCAAGTCACTTCTGGTGTGACAGAATTGGCTGTCTACAGAGACATTGTCCAGGGGATGCCTGGATGTGTTACTATCCTGCTGGGAGGCTTCTCTCATGTCCCCGCAAGCTAGAGATGACAGAGAGGAGCTCACCCCGTCTCGCAGATTCGAACCAGCAACCTTCAGGTCAGTAACCCAACCTTCAGGTCGGCAGTCCAGCTGGCACAAAGGTTTAACCCATTGTGCCACTGTGGCTCTATAGGTGGGTCAGATGATATTCTTTAAAGGGCTTTTTAAACATTTGATATATTTTCCTCTTTTCAGGATTTTGGATTAAAAGTCTGTCAGTGATGGCAAGAAAATAAATCATGCATATCTTACTGGGGAATTCAAAGCTTTCCAAATCTTTTGCCACCAGTGCCCAAGCCCATCTCTGTGGAAAGGGTAATATGCACAGTGCCCTCTGAGTTTTTCCTCAATGATTCTTTGCCTCACTAATGACAAAATTGGATGGGAAAGAAAGGGACGGGGAGGGACTCACATTCTTATGGTTCTGCTCATACAAGATCACTGTAAAAAGAGGTACTTCTGTTCCCTGTCTATCAACACTTTTTCTGCCTTGAGGAGAAACTCACAAGCATTGGACATGAAACTAGCATCCCCCCCCCCCCACCGCCACCCCAATAAACCTTGATACTGCTATTTTATATAAGGGATGCCATTTTATTATGCCACTGAATAGGGAACTTGATCATCCACAGATTTTAGTATCCACTGTGTGTTGTGTGTGCCTTAAAATGAAAACCAGAGGATACCGCAAGGGTTATCTGGAAAGTAAGGTTACAAGGCAGATAGCTCTCACGGGAAATTTTCACAGGGGAAGTTGGTATCGAAGCCAGTAGAAGTGAATGAGCAAGTGCCAGTCATCAAGCAGCTCATCAACTGGCATGGTGGTGAAGGTTAGAGATGAGCATGCTCATTCCACTTCCCTCCAAGTGCAAAGTTTACACGTAATATGCTACCTAAATGATATGGGCATGAACACTACTGCAATTCATTGCGAATTTTTTTTCAGTTTATAGAGAGAATGTAATGTCAAGACAGCATGTGATAAAATGGGTACGGAATATATTGTGAGATTATGAAGAACTTCACAGAGCCATCCAAAACAAACATCGTGGAATGCTGACATTGTGAGTCTGTCTCCTTCATGACAATGCGCGTCGACACACTGCTCATGCAACACAAGAGTTGTTGACTTCATTTGGTTGAGATGATGTAAGCCACCCTTCTCACAGCCCTGATCTTGCACCCAGTGACTATCCTCTGTTCACTAAATTGAAGGAACACCTTGGTGGAAAACAACGAGGTGAAAATCAAAGTGCCGAACTGATTGAAAAAGGCGGAGGGAAATTTCTATGACACAGGCATCAAAAATCCATTCTTCAGATGACAAAATGTATTGAACTGAATGGTGGTTATGTGGAAAAATAATGTAATACCTATGCTACAATCCATGTAAGTTTTATTAAAATATATTCATTCTTTGTATTTTTTAAAAAAATCTTGTAACCTTACTTTCTGGATAACCCTAGTAAATGCCCACTGCATATGTGTGTGTATCTGTACACACCAACATACTTGCAAATATGCCTGCAGGGTGACATGAAAAATAATTAAGAGCAACGAAATCATTCCTGCGATTTAGTTCTGACTGTATTAGCACATCAACCCCCAGTGCTGCAATATGTATGACAGTAGTCTTCTAATTACCATGAAGGTTATGAATCTTCTGTACGTGTTCTCAAAATACAGAAGTCTGGCTTGCTTTCATGAGAAAAATGAAAGTGCAGCAGAATCTCAATAGGTGTGGACGCCTTCAGTGTTATTTTTCTATCTTTCAAAAAGGCAATTGTGATAAAATTGATCAGGAAAAGTGGCCCCATCATTACAATTCAGAATACCACACTTATAACACTTCAGGTAAATGTCATTTTATGAACCCACTCATTTTTTTTTAAATCCCTCCTTTAATTTGTACTGTAATATTTCCCCAGCTGTTACATTTTAATGAGGAGTTTAGCACGTGCTGTAAAATCATAATTCTGTGATGTGACATTTTAAAGATTTTTTTAATACCCTTTATTTTCACTGTCATTAGCATAATATTAAAATGGCACTGAAGTAGATATTATTTGATGTTTTTAGTGGTGTTATTGTGTGATGGTGTTAATAATTTGATTTTTGTGGGGGATATGTAATTTCAAATCAGCTCTGATTTATGGTGGCCTATTGTTGGGTTTTCTCTGCAACATTTACTGTTGCTTTCTTCTAAAACCAAAAACCTGCCCAAAAACCAAAAACCATACCAGTAGATTTCTATGTTTCTATGTTTGAGTGGAAATTTGAATCCTGATCTCTCAGGCCCCTTCTACACTGCCACATGAAATCCAGATTGTCTGCTTTGAACTGGATTATATGGCAGTGTGTTCTTATATAATCTGGTTTATATGGCATTGTAGAGGAGGCCTCAGAGTCCTAGTCCCACCTATACCACAACACTAGAAATAATGATATAATATAATAATTATCATTTTGGTATTATAAACCCTAACTTTAAATCTCATCCTTTTAAAACTATTATAACTGAAAATTACTTTAATATGAATGCAAATATAGATTTAACATAAACAGCTGGTGTCATAAAAATGGCATCATTAAAAAGCCCATGGTGACAGTGGATTGAGCTCCACACTTCACAGTTGATTGTGATTTTTGATTGTAATGTAAAGCTGCACTGAATATAGCCATGAGCCATTAATAGCACTAAATAGATATCTTTGATAGAATGTATTTGACCCCTTTTGAAACTGTCACAAGCTATCCATAGAATAGATGCATTAAAACTGTCCATAGCAGTTATGTCACAATTCCTGACACAACAAGTACCATACAGGGGATAAAATGTAATACTCCCACAAGTTTTGGCAAGTCAATAGCAATTTCACTTGTAACTTAAAATGTAGGACCAATTATTTGATCATTCTAGGCATCACTAGTCTTAAAACTGCTGGCAGGGATGTTTTGAACTATTGTTAACACATTATAGGATGTGATTGTGTTTTTCTAGTTCATATCTATCACCAAATAAAATCTTTCTTTTTAAAATCAGCGTAAGATACATTCCTACACAAGAAATCAATAACAAGAGCAAGGAAGAAGAGACTTTAATAATGAGTTACTCATCCTTGGTATGGTGAGAACAAGAATATAACAAGTACACCTGTTTGTGCTTCTATTTTCATCCCTCCCATCTCCTCCAACTAATTATGCTCTTCTTTTCTTCCAGGCATACCAGTGCCTCTCTCTCAAACTGCTTCAAGTGTGTCAAGAGAACACTTCTTAACCAACCACCTATCTTTACCCTGCTGCTATTCCACTGTGCCCTGGGTCCCATATCATCACAAGACCAAATCTTGTACTTGCTCATCCTCTAATGTGATATATGCCGCCCTTCAATCCTCTACATTGGGCAAACAGACCAATCTCTAATGGACATGTTGAGTGATTTCAGCTACCACAAAAACCATGGGTTTGAAGGGCTTATTTGGGGGGCCTTTTAGGTGCCTGGGTGTTATCCCAGCAGTTACTGGGGTGACA